CCTTAGCCTTTTTCCAACTCTATTTGATTTTAAACAATAAATTGACAAAGATGGAATGATGTTATGTTAGACACGATTATACCATATTTTAAATTAAGAACATTGGTACAAGTGGACTTAATATATAGAAATAGAAACCAAGTCATTAGGTAATTGTAATTATTAATTATGTTGTTTAACTAATAGCGATACTCCTCCACACTCATAATAGACGTCAGTTAATTTTTGACTTTGATTAAACATGATGCTTTCATGTTTATTGCGATAACATAGTAATAGTTATTATAACAATAGGTCCCCAAACAGACCATAAAATCACCAAAATGTTTTTTTAATTGAAGAACAGAAGAACATTTCATTTTGGCAAGATTACCTTCATTTGATCCAAGTCTTTGAGTGCTGATGTTAAGTTCACTCGCACTTGTTGTTTTAATCGGCTCAACTAAATCCAATGTAAAAATATAATTTGTACTATAATTTGTACATCTGTGTCAGTAGAAAAAGCCAAGTGCGTGTCGTGCCACGCACAGAGTAGGGTTCCATAGTTGCCTGTCGTTACCACAATATAAATTTGAGCAGGAGTCCTTATTTTCTGTATCGAAAAATAAAAAAACTCAATATCAAACTATGTATCACAAGAAAAAATACCTAAATCAAAGTCAATTTGCGTCTCAATCGCAAAATCAATTACGTATTATTATTTTTATAATTACGAATGATAACCGTCGATCTTTTCAAGTCAAGATTCAGAAGACGTGACGTTACCGCTGGTAGAGTACCAGCGGTAACCGCGATCTATGTGTAACTATTTGGAACTAATGATATCTTATTGTGGCTTCTAAATAGTTTTTTTTTTATTTTGTTTTTCAATTCAAGATTTTACGCTACAATTACTTCATCTATATCACTATTAATATTATACCCCACACGATAGGGTAGACGATGAAAAATAAACCATCCTCAGGCTACATGTACGGGAGCTAACATAAAAAAAAATATAAATTTTTTTTTCGCTTTTTGTCGGCGTGATATCTCCACACAATTACAGCTTTCTAGTGTTAACAGTATCCAATCAAAATTGGGGACGGACAGGCGAACATGACATATCTATAAAGGTTCCTTGTCAGAACTACGGAACCCTAAAAAAGAGATTTCAACATCATTTTATTTCTATTTAACTGAAGAACTTCAGTGCAAAAACCACTAAACCTGTGTTATATAAATAATATGAAAAAAGGCGATTTTATTTAATATTTCGATAATCTTCCTGTTGCAGACGAGGATAAAGAACCTTTGTTGATATACTGATGCCAATTTCTTCGTAGTGGAATATTATCATTCCTATCTGTTTTAATATGGGACAAGACAATTAGATATATTTAATATTCACTATCTCGTCACATCGTATAAATAGTTTACACACGAAAAAGTATCTTCTTATTTAAATTAATGCCACGCACTATAATTAATTTTCAATTAAGTAGCAAACTTATACGGAAATAAAAAACGGTTACCACATCAAAGAAGACTTGAAAGAATGAATAAATTTTGGTGTCTTTACTAGAAATTACTATGAAATGCCAAATCTTGTGCTCTTGCGTCTTCGATATGGTTCTTATTTTAGATATTAATTGATTGTCCCTGCTATTATAGGACTTGCAAAATTATTGTTTGTTTCGTTACACATTTTATAATATTGACTCGGGATATTTGTAACGCAAACATTGATCAAATACGAAACTATAATAGATAGCGGTAGCCGAGGAAAGGTAATATTTTATTTTATAAAGATAATATTTTATTACAAAAGTATCATGTTCAATGTCAACTCACGTCTTTGGTTATCTATTTCTTGATGTGTTCGTTTTTGTGGAAAACCTAATCGTTTTCAAACATAGGTATAGCTTTGCGTTTTCCAAACTTGTAAATATGTTGTTCTTTTTATTTATCCTATATGCATTTGTTTTAAGTTACGATTGTGCAGTGCTATTCTGTAAGAACTAACTCACTTTTCATTGGGAATCCGCGGTGTGATTTAAAATTAGAATACGAATTTCAAATCACACCGGCGAATACCGCGGTGAAAAGTGAGTTTGTTTTTACAGAATAGCACTGCTGCCCCTTATAAATGCAACAGATGGCGTCCCTACTGCTGGCATTATCGCAAGCGCTAATAAGAACATCAGCCTTATTTCCATTCTTGCGGCAATGAACTAAAAAGCCTTAAGAAGTATTCATAAAGTAACTTTTCTATCGTACAAAAATAGAAGTAAGGTTAAATCAATGTTGTTCTATGCTCATGTTGCTAGGCCCAAGATTTAATTTTAAACCATTGGAACATAAACCAAAATTTGATATCCTTATTGTATATACCTACAATAAGGATATCAATTTTGGTTTCTGCAAAATAAGGAAACCAAGTATTGAAAAAACATTTTGGTGATTTTATGGTGTGTCTGGGGCGTTGCATAACTATTGCTATGTTATCTCGATGAACATTAAAGTATGATACTCAATCAATCTATTATGATAAATTACACATATACACTCATATCCCCATATTCAAAAACCCGCTTTTCTCATCTATTTCTTAGTGTCTTTTCATATAACTTTATTAATTGTACATGTAAAAATTATTTTCGAATAGGTATGATAGTGTTAAATTTTATAATTATACAAACGTTATAAAACATTTAACGGGCCTGTCTCTATTGCTCTTGAGTACAAATTCGATAAAGGATTATATAAAAATAGACAGTAACTTGAAGTTTAACTTAGCTAAAGGTGTTAATGAAAATATTAAAAAAAACTACACCATGTTCGGCCAATTTTAAATCCTGAGTCAAACGAAACACATGCGCGTTACAGCACCGAGCATTACGTAAACTGCTGTGCTGTAATGCGCTGTGTTGCATCTCTTAAAATTCAATGTTAAAGATTATAACTATAGTCCGTTTCAACCGTTTCAAGAGCAAATTAAAATATAAACAAAAACTTTATTTCTCAATAACTTGCCGTAGATTGTAAACAAATCTATAGAATCTGATCATTCCAGTGATCAATCTATTTTGATCAACAAAGGCTTAACAGATCTTAAGATTTAAACATCTAGCTGTTAAAGGCTTATTAAATTGCATTGATCACTGTAAAGACGAATAGGGATGATGACGGAGTAAAGTAAAAGAAATTGTATTTAGTCCGTTAGTTAGAATATCAAATAATGATGAACACATATTTTTCCTTTTGTTAATCAACTAAAAAATTACAATAATAAAGCGCGTCAAAGTTTGGGAATGGAGGCTCATGACGTCACTTCTAAATAAAAAAATGTACGATGACGTGACGTCATGTGACATTTAAAATCAATATATCTCTGTGATGTATTGATTATTTGAAAAAACAAATACGTGTCAAATACTTTTTGATAATCTACTTGACCGATGAAGAAAAAAATATTGTAATAATTCCTATTACCATCTAAGCTTTTATGGATTGTCCACCTCTTTGAATTTTTCTCTTGAAAGGTTTGAAACAGATTGTTCCTAGGTAGTTTCTCACCTCGCTTGCCAATGTCGTTTAAGAAGTTCCTGTTGGCCGCGGCCCGCAGCGCCTGCACCTTCCTCTCCTTCTCCAGGCTGAGCTTCTGCCGCAGCACGGACATCGGCAGGTCTATGGACAGGGACGGCATGCGCCTCTTCACCCGCCCGCTGCTGGCCTTGACTCCCCAAATGCATACGTGTTAATGGTCTACCTACCATTAGTATGCCGAAAGGCTGTTTAAAATCTACTCTCTTATCAAGCGTTGCAGTTACTCATATAACCTTGTACAAATCCTGCCAATTCCATCGATATTGAAAAACTTAAAATTATTTCTTAATCTTGCATTTAACCTGTATGTCTGCTATAATTTGAGACTTTATACAAACTTTCAATCTTAAGTTTTTAAATGTATGGGAAGTGGGCATTGCTCTTGTATTGTGACTTTACAGACAGACTTTAAAACCAGATTTTAAATAAATATGGTGTATATCCAAAAATACGAACGTACACTTTGTTTCCTAATCTAATATAAACAAAGAACGAATCTACTACAGTGAGGAAAATAAGGTACCTGCAAATATTTCGCCCAAATATTATTTTACGTCACAATTCATTCAGTAGAACAATGCGGAATTCCATCGCTGAAAAGAGAATAGATTTCGCCGGGAATCTTCTCAATTATCATTGGACCTTTATTAGATAGCTTATTCTTTCTGAATGCTCAATTTATTATAAGAATCCCGCTAATATTAAACAAGTATGTTAGTTTGTTTTCTATTTACCGCATACAATGAGAATTGGGATTATTGTTCCTTCAGAAAAGCTTTCAGTGATTATGGTTGCGAGTGAATATTTGAAGTAATTTTTAACTTTACATATCTGTGTATTCATAAGTATTTTATTTGAAAATGAAAATTTATTTATTCCAAATATTTTTTGTTTGTACAAAATTAGAACTGCTCTCAAATAAGGTTACCCTGTGTTATGAGAGGCAAGCTCATCCTTAATATATAATAATAATATTATAATCATGTAATTATTTCCTTTTTTTTAGAGAGGCATGAAGAAGCATTTTTGCTCGTGAGAATGGTTGGTGTGACCAGCTATCTTTGCGTTTGGACTCTATCGCCACTTAACATCAGGTGGGGTAGAGACATTTGCCTCCCTAGTTATAAAAAAAACTTTGTAACTTGGAAACTACAAACAACCAAATATGTTTAGTTAAGCTGTGTGTGTGGGTGTGTGTGTGTGTGTGCGCGCGCGTGTGTGTGTGTTTACGTTGATATTTATTTATGTATAGATCTAAGACAAGCCAGTAATTGTTCTAGATTGTCATAGTTAAATTGTTTCAGCCATTTTATAATCTGAATTCTCATCAATATTTTTACTACGAATTCGCGCTCATAAGTGTGTTCAAGCCATATCTTAAAAAAACATTCAGAATATAATATGTGCGAAGATGAAATAAATGTATAAATACGCATAGGTACTGTAATAAACTACATCTTACGACGGATCATTTAGCAGGAATCGTTAGATATCGAAACGTCATCAATAATAAACTTTTACTATCCTCACGTGAAAGTTTGTGCACTCTCTCATCTTCGGTGAACGGTAAATAATTATTACCTACATATTTTCTTTAAAAAATCATAACTCAGAATTTAATTAACAGTCTTTACTTTTGCAAATATGCAACCTTAATGTCCACCATTTATGAAACCAATTAACTGAACTAACCTGTATCACTTCACTATATAACTGAAGTCCATAAACTTAAATAGTTAGTAAGTAACTACTCGTAAAGTTTAGCTAGAATTGTTGAGCTCCGAAACGTAGTTGGAATATCGTTGAGCGTCCTGCTAACAAACTTTAAACCCGCGCCGCGCCAGCAACGATTACGAATTTGAGTAAGCATTATTAAATAGTTGAAACTTGTGTATAAGTATTTCAGATACGGGAATGATTGCTGTATTCTGTTCAAAATAAATCTTTCATTGTAATCTTAGAGGATGGAATGCTCGAAATGTTTCAAAGGTAAAGTAAGTATATTTTACAATGAAAATAGATACATACAACAAAATCATATTATTTTATTAAAAAATCTCGAGATCGAACACGAGAACGTGTTTTACGACTAGATTGATTTTTATTATTAATTAATAGTTATAATTATTATTAACCAATATTTGTACATGAAGCGTTTCACTTAATATCGACGAGTCGGTTGCTCGGTTAATCATTTTAGTTTCTTCTTTCTTCAATTCGACAGTACGGTGAAGTGTGCAGGAGCTAAAAATGGAGAGAATAAAAACTCACTTTAGTTAATATACTGAGTGATTCAAACTAAAAACATTCTTCTACTTTCATGCAAATTTGTACATTCAATGTACAGTCAACCTGGCATTTGTAAATCCAAAGAACTTTATGTACCAAAAAGTTCTTAAATCAATTGAGTAACAAATTCTGTGGTATATAGTTTTGCTGTTGACTGTACAAAAGATTTATAGCAACTCTCTCTAAAAGGCTTCAACTACGGACGTCTACTGTATCTACACATTTATCTACAGAGGCTTTTCAAACTTCAAACAATTCATCTACAATAGCAAAACTACAGTTTTCAACTACAATATTTCATATCCAAACACTACTATAATACCGAATATAATTTTGACTTACACATGGTATCTATCATTGATAAATTTTTAGAATTTCGTCGTGAAACAGTTCGTAGTTCCATCAGTTCTTTTTGCGATCCTGATACTTTTTGTTCGGTGTTCTTACCTCTCTTTCCTAGGCGATCTAGAAAGTTCCTGTTGTTATGAGCTAGCCGTTCCAGATACGAGTTGTATGCACTTCTCTGAAGCACGTCCACAGCCGGATTCACTGTGAATGATCGGCGCGGGCGCATAGGGCTCACGCTTCTGGATACCTTCATACATAACAGATCTCACATGTTAATTTATTGTTATTGTGGCGGTACGTTATGAAAAATTTAAAAACTTTATATTTATTAAAAAATGTATAAAATAATAAAGTTACAAAAAAAGGAAATCCGTGGTGTTAAACTGCTACAGTAAAAAAAAAATGCTGGTAGGAAATATTACAAAACAGTTTATAGGTTGCCAACAGTGGTTGCGATGCGAAAGGCGAAGCATCCAAACTTTTTTCAATACTTCGGGTTTTTATTGCTTTACAAAGAGTAAAAATAATAATAACAATTTATCAAAGAATTATATATTTGTTACTGTATAATGTTATTCAACCCATAATATTATGAATTATACTTATGGTGATTCTACAGCACAAGATAGAAACGTATTCATTAACAATCTCATAACTTATTAAATCACAAACATTACTATATTTCAAGTAACAGATATAATATATCTGAATATTAAAAATAACTATGAACGAAAGCATAATATTAAAAAATTATTAAATATGACATGGGAATAGGTATAGTAAACAAGTAAAATGTTATACGTCTGAAAAGTAATGGAAAACGCGAAAGTGATTGCTGTGATTTTATTTATACCGAGCAAGCAGTGCTTTTATTTTGTGAATGTATGTTTTATCAAACGGTAACGAGTAAACGACAATGTAAAATCCAAGGTTCTTTTTGGGTTATCTGCAGTTTGTTGAGTGACACGTGAGGACATGTTTTGTGTCGCGTCGTTAAGGTACCTGTACCGACTCGGTCTCGTTTGCTTTCATTTACCATGTAGTTAGCCATTGTAAGATGTTATATCATAATCACGGCCATTACTGAACATAGGCCTCCTAGCGATATCTACAAACAACGGTCTAGCACTTTCCGCATCCAGAGGGTCCCCCCTAGTTGCTTGATGTCAGCAGTCCACCTGGTGAGGATCCTACCGACACAATGCGAGGTCACCTTGGTACCCCAATGTCCATCAGTCCGCCGGACAATGTGGGCCGTCCATTGCCATTCAGGTTGGCGACCCATTCTGCTATGTCGGTTATTCCAGTTCTTCTTCGGATTTCCTCATTCCTGACTCGATCACGTAGTGGAACACCCAAATTGACTATACGATATTAGGTATTTGTTGACAAATTCATGTGCATAATTTACAACGATTACCGTGTGGAGCGGAACATGACCGTTAGGCATCATTTGAGTTTTACTCGTTCATTTTAAGGTCCACCTGCTGAGAGGCTCTGCTGAAGTCGTCGAGCATTATATTGAGCCTCTCAAAAGTGTCTGCCATAATAACTATATCATCAGCAAAGCGACGGTGAGTAATGTACACACCGTTGACGTTGATACCAAGTCCTTCCAGGGTAGCCGTAACATTCGAGGAAATTGTATCTTGCAAAAACAACTTATAAATGTAGCTCATCAGCGAAATGGATCTGTAGTTCTTCAATAGAAATATTTAAAGAAAAGAACCCCCACCCTACTGTGCTATGTATGTGGCATTAACCCTTCGTGAATAACAAAATTGAACAATCGCTGAAAGATTTTGCGTACCTACTGGGTTTCCGCCCGCTTCCAGAAGCTCTGCTATGATTTTCACTCTCACAAATAAAAAGTATCTAACTAAACCTCTCAAGCCAACATCTATCGAACCGTTAAGGCCACAGAGCGAGCCAAAGAAATATAAATACATCTGAAAAATATAAGCATTCTTTTCGCAAAGTCGGGTTAAAAGGGCCCCCAAAAACCTGTTGAGCCTCGTAATGCCCCTGCCTTTATCATAACTTGCGTCGTTCAAATATCTAAAACCATAAATTAAGTAATGAGTAAATCTTTATAAAGTTTAAAAAATATATCGTATAAAAATCGAAAAAAATCATTGATATGTTATCAAGTGATCATTTAATACTTATATAACGTAACGTAAAGCAAATGCCTCATAAATAATTATGGAGCATTTTCTTAGAACGAACGCAAAGATTATGTTTTTTTGTTTGTTTAGAAAGTCCTTAATCATTGTTTAACCGCTAGCCGGATTTTTATGATATTGTTTTGCGACGTCAAAACTTTGGCTCCGCGAAACCGACAAGAGAATCAAAACAGCTATTTTATTTGAATTCCTTCCACGTCTTCATTGTTAGCAATAAAAATATTTTCGGGTGTCGGACGGAACTCTCAATTACTATACAGGTAAACGTTCTTATTCCTTAATCCTGAGTTATTCAAGCTCTGTATTTTGTTTTTTCTTGGAAGCGGTCAGACGTAATTTTAACTTTTTTCATGAAAAATACTTTTCATTCTTACATAAACTGTATTTTGACTGAATGATTACATAAACTGTATTTTGACTGAATGATGCCAAAACTTACTCGATTGTATAATTCTTTTTTAAATTTTTGAAGAAAACTTTTACCTTTTGCTGATTTCTGGTATTTTTCTATTTATTTACAGCAAATACTGTTTCTTATATTTCCACGCACACCAATAATTTAATAAAAATAAATGTAATTAGGTTTTTTTCATAATTCACAGTAATCCAAATTTATTCATGTGATAAACAAAAATCATAGCTATTTTTTTATCTCATTAAATGACATTTGGTGATTTTAATAGTTGTCTTCTTTTAAATAGCGGTTTTAGTAAATAAACAGCCACGTTAGCGAATGGGTATCGATAATGGCAATATTAATACATTTTATTTATTATATTTAAGAATGTAAATATTACACATTTCTTTATTGTGATAGTATCTTCGAAAATTAGCTCTCAATGATTTCCAAAGATGGCGGAAGTAATAGCTGCATCGCACCCAATTTTATTAATATCGAAACATAATTAAATGTTTGGCCGAAAAACCAACTCTGTTGAGGGTGTTTAGAAAAATTTACGACACCAGTCGACGCCACTGTAACATGAGGTTTATTGTTTGAAGTTTTTTGCGTGAATTAATCGAACGTGCATTAAATTTATTAAATCTCAAGCAGCTAACACTGCCCGCCACAAGGCACGTCTTCTAGTGGATTGACAGTTTAGCCGGATGGACCTAAAACTTTATTAATCTATATCATCATGAGCAATTAGTGATATGTAACTCGTATTTGAGGATGAGTGAGGTCCTCGTTTTCCCTCGTGAGGTACTCGTGAGGTGCCCTTCGTTTGAGGTGAGGTGAGGCGGAGCGCGCAGAGCGACAGTGACAATCGGAAATGACCGAAAGTCGTATGAAATGAATACGATTTTAATTCTCTGTCTGGCAACACTGCCTCACTTACTTCAAATGTATTATATTAATGTACTACGTGCAATGCATCCGTGAGTAAATATTAAGTAAAATGTGGTCGTGCCTTGCCCTCGACGAAAATGAGGATGTAAATGAAGTGGTTCAAATTTGAAATACGAGACCGAAATTCTGTCATGACGAGGAAGTCAACGGACACTATAAGCCATCATTGAGCCAAGTTGTTGAAAGTTATTTTCTATCGGTATATCTATTCAAGGCGGTATCTATTTAAAAGATAATTGTTATTTTAAACGATGTAAAAAACGCATAATGGGCGCAGCTGAAAAAGAGATATTTTGCTTTTTTTTTAATAAATTAACTTAACGTATTTTGAACTAAATATTTATCAAAGTAAAATCAATTAAAAAGTAAAATATACTAATAAATGTAAACAAATTTGTTGTTTGTTTGCTAAAGAATTAGTTCACAGCTATCCTACTAGGAAATGAGCGGAGCTTTATTGCATAAGCAAGCTTAAGCTTAAATCCCACTAGGTCTCCACAGCTGCAGAGGCGGTATAACCTTTCTCGCTACCCATAAAGTATAAACAGTTCCATAGTATCTATAGAATAATTGAGTATTTTGGGCGCGAGGATAGAAAACAGATATAGAAATTACTCTCCATATTATGCATAGCATATTATACATATTATACATAGCAGCTGAGCAATAGAGATTATATGTAATCTGTTAGTACCATGTTGCTTAAAAGGAAATGACATCACTTGTAATTTAAAGTATTAAACTTACATTTACGTGCAAAGAAATTATATAACTTTATTAGATGACCCAGCTAACTTCGTACCGCTATCAAAATAGGAGTTGGTGGCAGAAGGTTGAAAATTTAGGGTTGTGTGTATTTTTTAATGCCGAATCAAAATCAATGGACCATCTTTATCACTTAGGGTTAGGGTTTACGTCGGGGGCGTCCCAGTGAAGTGGCGCACACTAAGGTGCGCTGATCCTGAGACGCCCCCATATGGGCGTAGGAGGGTACCGGTGGTTTTTAGTGGGTAGGACCGGCGTTGTTCCGCGCCGGGGAGTCACACACACGCCGCGCGCCCAGCCCGCGCGCGGTACGGTGCGTAAATGCATTTTCCATCGTCAACAAAAAAAGGGTTAGGGTTTACGTCCTTTTCTCAGACCTACTAAATATACACACTAAAGGAGATTGCTCAGCTTCCATACATGTTTGGCCTAAAGACCAATAATCATGAAAAATTGTTTCCTAGATTCGAAATTATATATAAATTACTGTAGAAACGAATATTATTGACGGACCCCTGAGAACTTCTATAAACCATATACATTGAACATATTAAAATAATAAAAAATAAATAAATTATATAGTAAACTAGGGAAATCAAGCCAAGTACCGAAATTATGGATTAGATTCAGGTATATAGAGCATGTAGATTAACAGATAGTTGCCTGTTTTTAAAGTTAATGCATAAGAGTAACTTTTAAAATCAGGTGTCATTTCCGGTTGTAATAAGGTACTCTGTGACAGAAACTGTGTGATGATTGTGAATGAGCCACAGATTACAGAGAATTTTTAAACTCTTGTTAACCAAAGAAAGCTAACAGATTTAGGTTCTATAGCCATATATTCAGTAACTTCATTATTTTTGTAATGTTTTTAAGATAACCATATTTTAGATTTTTAGTGTATCACACCTTATAATTTTATTTATTAATTAATTTATATTCGGGGAACGTAGGCCCATAGATAGATACCTTAAAGTCTAACATATTACAGATTATAATGTGTTTATGGAGGTGTTTAGTGAAAAATGTATGGCGATAGACTTTATGATGTCACCTACCATCTATATAATAATTGTCTAAGCACATTTGCATCTAGAGAAAATGATAATATAGTTGTGGATATTAATACCATAGTGTAATAAAAAAAGATTTATTTTATCGATCTTTACAAATTAAATTTGTTTTTATGTTTTAAAAACAACTTCGATCAGTCTTTGGCTGAATGTTACTACACCCATAGCCATTAAAAATGATTCGTATGTTTTCCAAACCGGTAAAATTAAAAGTTCTTTGTAAAGTAAATATATTATACAAAGGTGTCCGTTGAAATCTAATGATTGTAAATTAAATTATAAATTACGCCAAGAATTACCGTGTATGTCAATATTTTTTGTGCATTTGGGCCAATTTGAGCAATCTCCTTTCATAAGAATCGATCAAGCCGTTTCGAATAGTTTTGTTACAAACACCGTGATATGAGAATTTTATATACGCGAGTGATATTTTTGGTATCGCAAGCGTCTATAGACTATGGTAGCCGCTTATCATCGTACGGGCCATTATGCTTGTTTGCCACCCTTATAACATAAAAAAAACTGACATAGTCTGCGCCCCGTCTGCGTCTAACGTCTTTTTCGTGCGTCCCGCGCCTTACAAACGTTATTTTATCCTGAATGTTTTTTTTAGTTATCCATTTATTGATTCTTTATTAAATCGATTTTCTTTCGTACCGTTTCAAAGTTTTTGGAACTTACGACTATATTTTACCTCTTTGGTGGGAGGTATATGGGATCTCAAGGTACCTGTGATTCGCGCGGCATCTCGGCGAGGAGGTACAGCCAGGGAGCACCAGATGCGTATCGACTGCCCATTGGTGGCACACCGTAGTTGATTCCCTCCTGTCAAGAAGTATAACACAAATATCAGAAAATGGTCTGGTAAGTATGATGGCGTTCTCTATATCTGGCAGAAAATCATCGAATTTCATTTCATTTTTTTTCATTTTTCATTTTTTTTTCACACTTAGCCTAATCTTAAACGAATATTTCTAAGGCATATTAAAACAAAATAATATAATTATTGTTGAGCCTAATGTTTATAATATGTCCAAATTCACAATTGCATACTTTTAAGATGGCAGAATTTCATTAATAATAATAAACTTTGGCAAATTCGTATTCTGCATAATTTCGTTAAGTATAACGTTTATTTATGATAGATTTAGTATTTGTGGTCAGTGGGTTAGATCAGATTACTTTTGTGACCTAAATGAGCCTTAGCGTCGGCGAAGCGCCAGCTGCGATATATGTCAGAAAACGATTCTGACTGAGAACTCCCTGCGGTATGATGGTTCTTCTTTTAAATTATTGTGGATGTAAAATTAACGCCTTAAGCTTAAAAAGTTATGAGTTTAAATTTCTGCTAAATTTATGAATGTTTAATGATTTTTCTGCGCAATGAAGTTGGATGATACTTAAACTCTAAAAATAATGACTTGACAGATGGTGACAGATTGAATGTCTTCGGACATTGAACTTCGTATAATTGAGGTTGAACTCTACTTTCAGGTAAGTTCCTTTAACCACTAATTATCATATATCAGCCGTACGATGGCCACTGCTGAGCATACACCTCTACAGGTCCTGCACTGTCCACAATCATCATTATAATTCTAAACACATATTGCTTAATTATATAAACCTCTTCTTACCAATGCACTTCCATTAGTAACTGAGCACCTCAGTAACAAAAATAATAAACAAACTGAATATTATACTCATTTTAATCGTACGTTAGCCTTATTTGGCACTCTGTGAAATATTAAAGCCTGACAACCTATTTAGCAGGAACTGCAAATGTACGAAAATTACAAAAACCTGTTTTTCAAAATGCTTCATTGTCCCCATAATAAATGATCCTTTTTTGTTCCCCAAAGGTACCTGGCTACTTATAAATACACCTATGCTCTTTGTTGAATAAGTAATAAATATTCATAAGATAAGGATTAAATATGAAAGAGCTCCTTCCATATTTGCTGGGATGCATATACTGGGTTATTTCGCTACTTACCATATGCTATATCTAAATTATTTCATTTGGTTTAGCGTAATTGAGTAAGAAGTATCCATTTCGTCTACCTAGTAGCTTTGATGCTCTGCCAATCGCGTAAGGAAAATGTTTGGTATATGATGTATGTAGCTTTTCTTAGATAAATAGATAACCGTAGGTATAATATTATATTATTGAAGGAAAGTACGTAAAATTTGTATAAAGGTTTAGTTGTTTCACTTTTGACATTTTGCTGCATATACTACGTGGTTATTGAGCGCAACCTAAACACACATTCGTCAAATCACCTTGTGGCAGAACGATCACAATTTTCCACATGCCGAGCGTTACATGAATTGTGTGGTATATAAAAAAATATTTACCTAACTATTCGATATCCCCGGGGCACGCCTCAGTATACCAGGATAAGACAAAGCAAACATAAAATTGCACACGATGTATAAGTATCACCGTACAAATGCCGAGTTGTTCGTTATTATATTTACGCAAATAGTCTCTCGAGTTATACTGATTATTTAGATAGAAAATGCGTGTAATTTCTGAGGTTGTCATAAATAAATATATCTAAACCACCATGAATACTGACATGGCTTGGAACAGTTGAGGTTTGTGCTCATGATAATGTAAATAAACACCTCATGTACTAAGATTCAAACTTTGTTAAAATGTAACTATAGAATGAAGCTCCGACTTTAGGTTTAAGGATAAATCTACAGAATTTTGCTACTTTATAACTGTATTATTATCATTTGACATTATAGAATTTTTAAGTTTTTTGCCAACAAGCTGCACTAATAATGATCTGGCTACGTCGGGAGGGATATATGGCGTAAATTGTCATTTTTTTATGTGCACACAACGGCCTAATATCTGAATGCATAATATGGAAAATATTAAGTCTCCTGCTTGTTAACTTACGTTTTTTTCAATACTGTTATGTTTTCTACCTAAGTAAATGAGTAGACATATCAAGCAGGAGTGGGAGGTAATACATGCACAGAGCATACTTTATAGAGGGCTCTGTATCTCTTACTAAGCTATGCAACCTGGAGCTACTTTTGACCGGATACGCTGTTCAGGCGAGGTAGAAAGCTTGTCGTCTTTGAAAGACGATGCAAAAAAATATGCCTGCTATCAAGAAGCAGTTAGTTACATCATTTGTTGGCCGAAATAACAAATCTTAGTTGCGTAACATTCTGGTAATAAGCGTTTTTCCGCTTGGCGTACAAAAAACAGGACGGAATTCGATAAACTTACGGATAACTTCCAGCAACTTTTGAAGAAGAAAAACTCACAACCGTTGGCGCCAGCATGTCCATCTGTACCAGGTGCGAGGAAGTCGGGTGCATAGGCCTGCGGGAGCCGATGATTACTTTTCCGCTTAGTAAAAGGCAGGACAATATTCGCCAAGCTGACGGCTCTTTATCTCCACGCCGTGTCCTGGGCGGGTTAGGCAGATGGAATAGCTGACGACTAACTTCAAGTGATGGAAAGTATTAAAGAAGAAAATAACACATCTTCAGACGCGGGGGAAGCCATCTGAACCAGTGATGTCTGGGGGTCACGGGGTGTGATTATGTCGGGCGCATAGGCCTGCGGGAGCCGATGATTACTTTTCTGTTTGGCACACACAGGACAGGATGAAATTTGCCTTAGCGAACGGCGGACAGGGTGGTCCGTCGTCCGCATTACCCCCGCTGAGCCAGTTTGGCTGAGCGGGTGGGCGGGATTTGGGGGGAGGAGGAGTCCCACATAACCCCGTCTCCCACCCAGGGGCGGGGTATGCGTCACGCAGTTTCCTAACAATAAAAAAAAGGATGGAACTTGCCTAGGCTAACTTCCAATAAATATCATAATTCAAAGAAATAAAACTCACGTCTTCGGGCGCGGGCGAGTCCATCTGTACCAGGTCGAGGGGTGCCAGGGAGTCAGGTGCCGGCGCCGACGCTGCGCCCGCTCCGGCCGCCACCACCGCACACCAGACCGCCCACCACATCTGGATAAACAAATAGATTTCATTAAATCATAGGAACATTACTCTAAAACCCAACTGCAGCGCCACCGATCAAGTAGAGTTGTAAATGAAAAGAAAAAAAATATTCGTTGACATTATAAAAGCTCTTTTGAATGTTGCTTCATTTTTTTCTCCTACCACGTAAATAAAGTTTCCTAAATTTCATTATTTTTTACGTAAGAAAATTCTTCAAAGTTAGTAGTACATTGTAGAACCTAGTAGATAACTTAAAAAAAAGTACGATGAAAGCAGTAAAGTCGTTCTCAAATTGTTGTATCTATACATATAATAAAAAGGTAGAAAAGTCAAAACTATACATTGAATATTTTTTTAAAAGAATACTTGGGTTGTACAATCGATACTGAAGCCAAAAATATAGCTTTTAGAATTTTTGTCTGTATGTCGCAGGCGGCCGCTAGTCATTTTTACCTGGCTGCGCAATGCAAGAGCGCGAAGCGCGACGCGCAGACAGGGTTATGTGTTTATTACCTGGCTGCGCAATGCAAGAGCGCGAAGCGCGACGCGCAGACAGGGTTATGTATTTAATTAACAGTCCATATATGTATGTTTGTTCCTTTGTGGCACACTAGAGACCAAACGCCTGGACCGATTTTGATGATTCATACATCAATCGATTCGTCTCAACCATGAGAGTGCTACTAAAGATATGATAGTAATCAAAATTCAATATGGGCAAAATTAGGCGCCATATTGTGACGAAGTAAAAAAAATAAGTTGACAAAATATGTCGAGTGGGGTATCACTGTCTAGATAATCAAAAATCATATTTAGGTTCGTAACACCATTTTTCCTTTTATATGATTGTTTAGGATCTACAACGCTTTAAAGTTGTATATTAACCACTTACGCTTTTAATTTCAATCTTACGTTTGTATGGATTTTTGTTGCTCTTTCACCAACAAAATACTGAATGGATTTTAATGAAACTTAACAGTAATATAGCTCATATATGATAATTACATATATATAATAATTTATGTAGTTATTGAGTGAATTGGCCACTATATAACAATAAGTGTCACATAAGACGGAAAAAAATCTCCCATTTGCGAGCCATTTTGGCCTGCACTGCAAAAACAGTAAAAGTTACATGAATGTAATGTAGAGTGAAAATGTATCTCTTAAATAGTTCTAAAAAAAGTCCGTGACACCATATATCTATTTTTAATGTGTAAGTCATTACCGCTAAAATAGTGAATCAAAACTAAAATATTATTTGATATCTATTTCCAAAACGCACATTTTGTATTAACAAATTATGTTTTATCAAAACAAATACTTTTATCGCTTTTCATATTTAAAGACGATAAACTTTGCTTTTTACAGTATGTCATTTCGACAAATATTTAAAAAGTTACAACGATGACAAAGTGATAGCGCGGTGTACTATGTAAAAGAAAAAAAATGGGGTATTCGCAGTATCTGATCCTATACGAAGTACTAACAATAAAACTGTGATACAGTTCCTTCTTATTGAATGATGAAAAATATATTATTATAATAGGTATTTATGATTATTGAATTTTAATGAAAAACTCAGAATTTTACTGTTTTTAATTTTTTTTAACGATATTACTTAATGTTACAAAAAAGGTTTACTTAATATAATGACAAATAAACCATTTTTCGCTAGTAAGTACATACTTATTGGAATCCCTGTATTTATTAATCAGTAAGTATTTAATTGATGAAAAAGATTTAAAAATAAAGTAAGCAATAGGTTTATTTGATTATATTTGTAAAAGTTACTTAGCATTTGTGCATCAGTGATACGTTATTCGGTATTTTTATAACAAAAAAAATTTGGAAAATAATTGCCATTATTGCACTACTGGGAGTACTCTTCATTCGAGCTTTACACTACCAATAAAAGAGGGTCGAACACAAAGTCTTTGACCTGTTAAATGTGAACGCTTTAAAAGAAAACTACAAAGAGAACTATAAATTGATAATAAATGAATCTCATTTCTCGCTATGGTGCTCTACCTAACGTTATGAAAATTTTATTATGCTCCTTTAGTTTAACCAAATATTATAAACTTTGCTTTGGTGATAGCATAATTATTTAATTTAGTGATCTAAGGCAGTTGCCACTATTGTCCAAAACAACAGACGTGAGTTACTGCTTTCTTCAACCTGTGACATAAACGTCATTGATTGGTATTGTATATAGGGTGATTAAAAACATTTGAAGTTAACTTTGGCATCTACATATTGGCTTTCTGTGAATTATGTAGGTATATCAAATTATGAGACTAGGGACTGACACTGAAATTGTGTATATCACAATCTTAGACGTCCGGCATTGACATGACAATGCAGCCACTGCCAATTTTAAATAGTCGACGAATAAAAGTAAATGAATTTTATATTTACTGCTAAACTATTAAAAAAAACATAAATAAAAGATGACTGTTTGAGTAAGTGCTAGTTTACTATAAAATTTACATACATTAGAGATATTTATGTTACGACTTGATTTAACTTCACACATTTTTGCGAAAATTGAGGCCCATCTGTAGCCTTGACCCCGCGGGTAAAGTCTTTATATGTCTATATAAATCAATCTTTTAGACCGACGCAAGGTACTTAATAATTCCCGCGATATTAATTCCCTTCCTGAAGTAACAAGACTACGGTATAACCGTCTTAAAATACTAACTAACTAAAAAGTGTGAAATAAAAAAGGTAAAGGACATTGTTCAGCGTCCATACATAGTTAGCCTAAGAACCAACAATCATGAAATATTATTTTCTAGGTTCGAAATCGTAAGTAAATGACTGTAAAAACAAAGATTATTGACGGACACTTCTGAGAACTTAAATTATTAGGAAAACTAAATGTTTTTTGAGGTTATGTTTAATATTCAATGAAACATAGGTAAACCTATGAACTTAGTATGAAGTGAATTAATATTACAGCTAATTCATTTTATCCGGTGCGATTTTAAAGAATAACTATTAGGAAAACCTTGGATAGGTAGGAATCATGAATAAAATAAAAACTGTAGTTTTGCTTCTTATTTATTGACTATTTTTCACATAATTGTATCATATTGTATATGGTATTTATTTATATATCACATGTATATTGTGTAAATATGCAGCGTGAAGGTGTATCAGGTGTTCTTGAATAATTTGGCAGTATGATCCTCTCAGGATGTTGTGGCACAGCAGGTTCACTAGCACTTGGTAATAAGGTAACTCTTTGGTAACATCGATGGCATATTAGATAGCCAAAATAGTTAAATTATAAGAAAAACAATCGCAAATAAACACACAAAACAGGTAATATGAAACGAGAATGCACTTTCCTGTATATTATACTACTCTTTGGAATGCACGAATGCCACAGATTACTACGAATGCAAACTGCCTGCTTGCACCACAACCACAGAGTATCGAGTTTTATGCCGGCCCTTCACTTGACAACAGTTTGTCCTTGTCATGCTTAATAAGGAATGAAAAGGACAGACTGATGTCATGTTATAAAATAGCAAATACGAATAGCCAAGTGAAGTGCCGGCATTAGGAAGAAGGAGTGTTTTGTTTGCAGCGCTGTCATAGATTATACACATAAAATGGTATTTATTGTCTCACATTATTTTTTAACTTTTTAATTTAGCTTACTTAACTGGAAGTGTCCGTCACAATCTAAATACTGATAATTATCCCAAAAAATATATTAAGAATTATCATAAATGCCAAATTGGTGTTGGTTCTTAGGCCAATTTTAACATTGTCCTTTAAAAATCAAAAAACCCGACTGCTTAATTATAGTTATAATTTTTATTATTTTTAAAGCATGTAACTGCTTGATGTTTAAATCTAAAGAAAATATAACTAGAAAAAATTCCACGCGGACCAGGCAGCAGACGGGACTCGAACCCGCACCCTTCGCAATCCGGGCGAATGCACTGACCAATTATGCTACCGCGGCCCTCACGGACCGCGTCGAAATTCTTTCTAGCTATTCTTAAGCTGCAAGGCAGCACCATCTCTTCGCATTATAGGTAAACCCACAATGTCAAATGAATACTTTTACAAGTATTAAACATTTGAAAGAAGAAATAGCAATTATAGTTATAATTTTTATTATTTTTAAAGCATGTAACTGCTTGATGTTTAAATCTAAAGAAAATATAACTAGAAAAAATTCCACGCGGACCAGGCAGCAGACGGGACTCGAACCCGCACCCTTCGCAATCCGGGCGAATGCACTGACCAATTATGCTACCGCGGCCCTCACGGACCGCGTCGAAATTCTTTCTAGCTATTCTTAAGCTGCAAGGCAGCGCCATCTCTTCGCAATATAGGTAAACCCACAATGTCAAATGAATACTTTTACAAGTATTAAACATTTGAAAGAAGAAATAGCAATTATAGTTATAATTTTTATTATTTTTAAAGCATGTAACTGCTTGATGTTTAAATCTAAAGAAAATATAACTAGAAAAAATTCCACGCGGACCAGGCAGCAGACGGGACTCGAACCCGCACCCTTCGCAATCCGGGCGAATGCACTGACCAATTATGCTACCGCGGCCCTCACGGACCGCGTCGAAATTCTTTCTAGCTATTCTTAAGCTGCAAGGCAGCGCCATCTCTTCGCATTATAGGTAAACCCACAATGTCAAATGAATACTTTTACAAGTATTAAACATTTGAAAGAAGAAATAGCAATTATAGTTATAATTTTTATTATTTTTAAAGCATGTAACTGCTTGATGTTTAAATCTGTTATATGTGTTAAAACCCACTGTTGAAAAATATTATGTATTCTTGAATATCTAATGGGTCCCGACTGTTAAAGTAGCTTTGTTCCTTATTAACAGAATTAGAGACTACTGGACTTGTTTTTTTCTTTTCAGTTTTTATTTGAAGTATAATTAAGCAGTCGGGTTTTTTGATTTTTAAATTTACCTTTTTTTATAATTATATAGTTTACTAGTATAATATAA